ATATGATAGTAATACAACAGTAACAACAGTATAACAATAACAAATTTAAGTATTATATTCCAACTAAATATTTTCATTGATATATTGATATTTTGATTAACTATCATCAATGTTTTGAAACTTACTCTTATCTCCTGAGACTGTTTCTGCCTAATATGCATAATGCGACTAGTAACCCCTTGAATAGCTAGAGTGAAAAGATATTTAGATACTCCGTAAGCAATTGTGGGTGGCAGAAGAGAATAAATGGGAATTAATCTGCCTTTGTTGCTCACTTCGACTAAACGGATTGCACCATCTCGGAAAACATCCAATATTCCAGGACTTTCAGATGCAATTTCAGATTGTACCGTTTCTACTAACGACGCAGAGTAGAATGGCGTTACCAAACCTATAGAAACACTATTATATTTTCTATTAATCTCCGGTGCCAATCGACAATAAAGAACTTTTAACATATATTCGCATTAGTAGTCGCATTACCATTTAAGAAGAACGTGTTGTCCGAATGTCTTCAACGAACTGTTGCATGTTATTTCTCTGAAATTAATAAATATTTTGCCATTACTATCGTCACCATTATCGTCATTACGTATCATTAATTATTACTTCTGCGGTACTCGAGACTGAGAAATGGATATTTATTGCACATATAAAGATCACCTTACTTTGGCCACGGCGTTATTTTGGAAATGAAATCTTCAATAGCTAACAACATCCCTTTGACAAGCAGAACCGATCCGATTCCTTTCCATAGCGTATTTATTCCTTGAGTTTGATGAAGACGTACGACTACAGGTACCAAAGTAATTGGAATTATGTGATATTTATTCAATCCAGGATTTACTTGACATTGTCTTCTTAAAACAATAAGAGGATGAACTAATAAGGTTTCTGTAATTAAAGTTGCTAATCCACAACAAGCACCAATGTACTTCTTTACAGTGACATCTGAAATGTAAAATGTTATCCATCTTCAATCGTATCGAAGATCACTTTAAACCAAAGTTTTTCTTTATTCGCGAAACACGATAACAAAATGTTTTTACTACGTTTCGATAGACTTTACGTACAGATACAGACTTACGTTCTTACTTTACAAAAAAACTGACCTTCAGAGGGAGGACTATCTTCGACTAGCGGATGCACAACAGGAACATCCAACGGACGAATAACCTCCTGCCCACGGTAAATATATGGAAAATTTTTTTCACTTTCCCAAGACCTATCAGGCTTCCCACGATATACTCTGTCGTAACTTTCCAATCCTGCCATCACGTAAGATACTAATTTTCAAGAATTATAGCTGTACATTCTGAATAGCATTTAAATTCAATCGGCTTTACGCTTTCTTCCACTCCGGACTCCGAATCGACGTCCACGTCGCTCGAACAGTTGGGAAGCACGTATGTACAAAATCTGATTGTCGCGTCGCGCGATCTAGCGTGACACGGGACAACAAATATGCAATTGTTCGTTCAACGAGTCAAGTCGATCTAAATAAATAGAACTTCAACTATTATCTCAGAAATTTCTCATTCTGGAAATTACGATTTTTAAGAACAACTGCAACATCATTGTTGCAGTTTAAAGAATTAATTTTTACGTTGCATTTAATTATACATTAATTTTTATATTACGTTAATAAAATATATTATTGATAAAACGTAAAAATTGCTGTATCCACTTTTGAGCATGTAAATAAACGGATGATATTTTAATAAAATCATGCAAATTCGAGATGCACAAAGTCGTGAGTTGTTGCGACGAGATGTGACCTGCGATGCGACGTGGCGTGAGGTTGCCATCTAGCTATACTTCGCATCACTCGCGATGACGTTAAAATACAATATTCTCGTGCAATATAGCATATGAAAAGTGCGTGGTACATATTTGCGGGTGCATAGAAACATATTCAGGATTGCACGTAAAATATCGTTATTCGATAATAGGTAAAATCACAAATGAGTAAAGTTAAAGATTTTTGCCAAATATCGTAGAATATATATCGCATTGGATAGGTCAAATCAGATAAACATATGTACGTATGTTCTTAGTTCTAATCTAAAAGACACGCGGAAGTTCGAATATTTAAATATTGTAAATCCTGTATTCTTCACAATTAAGAGACGCGTAACTAATAAATTGGGAACAAATATAATAAAATAGAAAGCAAGTGCATTAAAAAGTAACATGCCGACAGTGGAGTCTTCTGAGTCGTTATTAGGTAAAATTGCATCACTTCTTGAGAGTGAAAAGGCTTCAATGAAATTAGAACTAATTTTAACGCATATACTATTTTTCTGTGACAAGTTTTACCTTTTTCCTTTAGATGCAATTTATACGTCTCAAAAACACGGAAATGACGAGACAGGCGATGGCTCTGAATCAAATCCTTTTAAAACCATTTTAAGGGCAATGCGTTACGCGGGTAAAGAACCTTTTCCACCGATTTATCAAGATTCTCACGAGGATGGGGAGAAGTATGCGATAGTGTCAAAATCGCAGTTAAAAAAGGCACAAAAAATTTGGAAGCATAAAAAGGAACATAAGGGCGAAGACAAGCAAAAGAAGCAGCTGGAGGATGAAGAAAAGAGATTGAAAAACTTGGAAGAAGCCAAGACAATTGTAATTCAAGAAGATACTACTTTGCCACCTGCGACTTGTATAAAAATTCGAGACAGTATTAACCATCGAGATCGGCGAATAAA